CAGGGCCCCCTCTCGGCCGGGAAGGGCCGCCTCAGAAACTGCTCGCGCTCTGACCCCGAGTGCCCGGCCTCCCAAGCTGGTTTCACCAGGCGGACCCTGGCCCTCACTGAGGCTTCCAGGCCCCCCGATCCTGGGCTCCTTTCCCGAGCCAGCCAAGTTCCCAGGGCCCCCTTCCGTGGCAGCCACTTTCTTGTCCACCCGACCACCCCCAGCCTCCTGCCGCCATCACTCCCACCAACGGAGCCCATCTGGCCAGACGAACCCCAAGAGGTGACCATGTCCCACGTGCGCACGACATGGCGCACCCACACATGACCTCTTGCTCCCACTCAGGCTGTGGGCACAGGTTCAGAGTGGTTAAGGGACTTGTCCCAGGCTGCGAAGAGACGATGCGGTACAGCAGGCACTTGGCCCAGCCGCCTCTCAGCATCGCCACCGGCTCCCTACACCATCCCCGCGGAGACCTTGTCAAACCCTCCCTCCAGGCTGACATCTCTGGGGGGTGGGGGGACCCTCCTCACCGGCTTGAAACACTCTCCCACTGCAAGTGAGAAGGGCCCACACCCTGCCCTTCCCACCTCCCCAGGGGTTTCCCTTTGCTGGGTGTGTGCTCCGAGGGCCCTGGCCCTGGCTCCCAGCAGGGAGAGGCGCTCCAGTCTTCCCTGGGTACCGAGTAACACCAACCCCCGAGCATCCGCTTCTGCTCACAGCTGAGCTTCTGAAGAGCTGCTGCACTTGCCTGGCCCCCCAGCTCTCTGTCCCCCCATTAGCAACCTCCACCTCCACCGTCCTGTGGAGCGCTCCTCCCCTGGACTCCCCGGAGACGCTGCCCCTCCTGTGTGGCTCTTGACCCCCCGGGCCGTCTGATCTGAAGCTACTGGCCACCCCTTACCCGTCGTCCCCAGGGACATGGCCCTTCGCAGCCGTCTTACTGCCCCAGGCCTCCGCTGGGTGATTTTTACTCACCCTGGGGTTGTGCACTGGCCCCTGCCATCCCCCTCGGTGACTGTGGCTGACCTGAGGGTCGCTCTGCCCAGCCTGCCGGGCCCGAAGCCGGGCTTCGCCTCCTGTCTCATCACCACCTGCCGCCCTGAGCTCTGGCCACACGCGCGGTTTCCACCTTCCCGCGCCTGCCAGACTCCCTCCTCGATCCTCTCTGCTCTCCCTGACCTCCAAGCTGGGCGAGGCGTCCCTCACTGCGTTCCTCCACTCCCTGTCCTTTTGCCACAAAACACCCATCTCCGGGAGTTGTCACCGTCGCTCAAGCTGTCTCCCCAGCCTGACTGCTCGGCCTCCAGCGGGTCCAGGGACCATCTGCTGGCTGAGTGACAGAGCAGAGGAGCCCACGCTTCAGGCCGCTCTCCCAGGGGCATCTGGGCACTGGGCTTGGGGGAAAGGGGTCTCACCCATTCTTCTTGGGCAAATAGGCCTCCATGTCGAAGAAGAGGCCCTGGCGCTCCTTGATCTGGTTCTCCAGCTCCTGGGCGGCCTCCCTGGCCCCCGACTGCAGGGAGGGTTTGCATCTGTAGGTGGGGGCACGGAAGCCAGAGTCAGAGCGGCCCCCCTTCCCCCGGGGTATCACATAGGACACCTGCGGGGCAGGAGATGAACATGGCCCCACAGGGCGTGGGGAGGGGAGAGGGGAGAAGCCATGCCCTGGGACACACAGGAGTCAGTGCCTGCTCTCCGCCCACCACAGATCTGACCCCCAGCCCTAGGCCAGGGGGTATGAAGGCTTGGGGGGGGTCATGGGGGGGGGTCCTCACTTTTTCAGGTTAAGAGCGAGCTCCTGGAGCTGCTTCTTCTGCCGAGTGATGGCGCCGGTACAGCCGTTCTGCAGCTTGGTCAGCTCCTCCAGCTTCAGGCGGTACAGCCGGTGGGTCTCCTGGGGAGGGGGCAGGGGGCCAGAGTGAGCTGGGGGCCGGCCTGGTAGAGGGCGGGGCTCCCCAGGAGGGTCTGAGCGGGAAAGGAGTCAGCCAGCCGAGGGACCCCCTGAGATCGCCCTCTCCCCGAGGCAGGCCAGGAGAGGGGGCTCCCCCTGCAAGCCCAGAAGCTCTCACAGCACCCAATCCCGGAAACAGGCCAGGTCCCAGAAGCTTTGCTGCGTCTCCGCCCGCCTACTAGCTGTCCCCACCCCTCTCTGTCCCACCCAGAGTCTGGATTCCAGGCGCAAGGGTCTGCCTTCTGGACCAGTCAGGCTGCCTGAAGCCACTGTGGTTCTCTCAGCTCCTCCTGCCTGCCCAGCCTGCTGGTGCAGGGGGAGCCGGGGCTGTCCCAGCAGCCTGCCTCCCAGGTTAAAGGTCATCAGGCTTCAGCCCTTAGAACTCCTGCCGCGGAGACCAGTCCTTTTACCCCTCCCCGGCACCTTTGGCCCCAAGCCTCCCAGAGCACCTTGCCCTGCGGGGTGAGTTTCCAGAGGAGCAGCCTGGAGACAACCAGGGGCAGCGTGAGGAAGGTCAGGCCGGAGTGGCCAGGCTGCGAAGTAGGTCCGCCCGGCCCGGCACTCGGGCAGGAACCGTAGCCTTAGCAACCTTGGTCAGGCCTGGGGGCAGCAGGAAGGGGCTGGAAGCGGCCCAGGAAAGAGAAAGGCAGGACGAGCCCACAGCTGTCCGGGCTCTGTCCTTCCCAGGTCTTCTCATGCCCTGAAGGGGCCACCACGCCCCGTAAAAACCCAACACGGGCCACATCTGTCTGCCAACCACTTCTCTCCTGTCTGACACCGGCCGCGGTCTCCCTGCTGCCTCCCCCACAGAACCCCACAGTCCACACGAGCCAGATCCCCACGGTTCCTCCCATGGCTCCCTGGCGGCATCGGAAAGGTTCCAACCCGGCCCAGGCCCCTGAGCTCCCTGGAGGGTCTGGCCCACCCGCTTCTCCCCTCGCTCTCCTTCCAGCGGCCACACAACCCTGCCTTGGCGGGTGCTGTCCTTCACCCTGGACGGGCACCATCCCCACCCAGGCATTTGCCCTGGACACTCGCCCTGGCTGGGCCGGGCCCTCCGGACCGCTGCCCCTCCGGACCGCTCCCTCGCCGCACTCAGCCCAGACCCCAGCGCTGCCCCAGGGCGGCTCCAGCCACGCCGGCGCCCCCAGCATGTTTGCTGAGTGACTGACCCAAGGCTGCGCCCGGCCGGCTTCGACTCAGGCGGCCACTCTCCTGGGAGAGGACGGGGCTGGGTCAGGGCCGCTTTCCGGGGCCTCCACGAAGGCCCCTGGTGCGCCAGGCTCCGCGGGTTTCCGCCAGGGTCGCGGCCGTGGGGGCTGCGCCGGACACGGAACCCAGGCCGAGGGGAGGGTCCGGATAGGACCACCAGGACCCGGGGCCTCGCCACCCTCTGGAGCGACGCCAGGGTCCACGACCCTTGACCCCGAGCCCCCCACTACCTGACCCGCGGCTGCCCGCCCGACCCTTGACCTCGAGCCAGAGAGCCGCAGCTCAGGGCCGCTGGGCGCCCGCACCGGCACTCACCTGGATGCTCTGGAAGTCCTGCTGCAGCTCCTCCCAGTCCCGCAGGCAGTCCCCCAGCGGGCCCGGGGCCGGGAGATGCATGGCTGCCGGGCCACGCGCCGGACAAGCCGAGTCGAGGACCGCGCCGCAAGCCCGGCCCGCCCGAGTAGCCTCCGCCGCCTCCGCCGCCGCCCCCGACCGCTTCCGGGCTCGCGCCGCCGCCGCCACCAATGGGAAAAGGCCTGAGGCCGCCAGCGCACTAACCCCGCCCCCGGCCCGAGCCAATCGGGGCCCTGGGCGGGTCCGGGGCGGGGCCAAGGGCAGCAGGGGGTGCTCACCCCGCGGCGCTCTTCCGACCCGGGGCTGGCGCGGTGGTTCCCGGCCGGGACTACGCGTGTCGTGCCAGCCGCGTGCAACGGCCCACAGAGCGCCGGCCCGTCGTGCTGGCAGTAAACCGAGGCGCACGGAGGTGACCCCTGCCTCGAAGACTCTCGTCCTTGGGAAAGCGGAGCCTCTGCAGGGGGAGGATTCTGAACCTCTCTTCTACGCCGCGGCCGATCTTCCAGAGCCAGCAGACGGCTGGGCCTAACGCACAAGCTATTCCACATCGTGCCCCTGACGGAAACTTTCCAGGGCTCTGCCCTGGAGTCCCCAAACCACAGAGCCATCGCTTGCAGCCTTCCCAGTCTCTGTCCAGGCTCCTGTCCTCACTGATCCCAAGCCTGAGTCCACTGGACAGCCCTTACCTTAGAGCAAAACCCCACTCCTTGAGGGCTTGGGCTTCCATGCGGGAGAGGGGGGACTCCCCCCGCCTGCAGAGTCCTGGGAGGGAAGATGACCTTCACCTCTATGTCCCTCCCCAGCTGCACGCAGGGGGCAGGGAGTGTCTGCTGAATGACATGGGCATCCTAAATTCCCTGTCAGTCCCATCCTCTGCCCTCTCCCGACTGGGCCTGCGGGAGCAGCCAGCGCTGGGAAGTGCATTCTGAAGAAAATTCCCGTTAAGACCTGAGCAATTTCTAGAAACGGGTGTAGGAGATAGGAGGGGTGGAAATCTCTTCTTGAGGAACCCAGCCAGGACGAAACAATTTGGGAGGAAGGAAAGGAAGTCCGAACATGGCTTCGACGGGCAGAATGGTGGGGAGGGCTGGGACGCGGGGTGAGACAAGACTGTATTTGTGCCAGGAGCCTCCCAGAGCTGCGGAGCCTGGCACCTGGGCCAAGGCTGGGCCTGGCGGATCTCCACCCGTGCATGGGCACTTTGACAGCCTGTGAGCCAACCGAAGGCAGGGGGAACCCTTGGAGCTCCTCCCAGCCAGCCTCCGAAGGTCATGGGGGCATGTGGGAGAGCTGCTCAGAAGCCCGACGTTCTTCCAGAAGCAGCCTCCATCGAGCGGCGGGGGTGGGCCGGGAAAACCCTGAGACGGGGGTTCTCGCAGAGTCTGGGCAGAGAACACCGGCTCCAGGGTGTGGACAAGGAGTCCGAGAAGAACTGCAAGAGGCTGACACAGGACTCCAGGCGGCAAAGGCCTTCTCTTTCCACACCAACCCGGCTACACGGCCTGGCCCACTACCCCCGGGAGGCCCTCAGGACCCGGAGCTGGACCACAGAGAAGATCAGTAGAGTGGATCCAAGATGTCTGTGACAGAGTCTCCGAGGATGACCTTCTCCCACTCGGACAGCTGAGCCACCAAGCCCTGGCTGGGATGCACGTTGTTTTTGCATTTCTTGACATGGGCCCAGGACTTCTGTCAATGCAAGGAGGAGAAAGCGGACTTTGGGATGGGACCGGGGCCTTTCCACCTACATACAGTGGTGGCATCTGCCCAGGGGCCAGCAGCATGGCTTTGTGGCAGGACACAGAGGCAGCAGCAGGCCAGCGCTGATGCAAGAGTCATGGGAGCCACTCTGTCTTGAGCAAGTCCCTCTGCTGCTGGACACGGACACAGGGACCCCTCCTGCTTCAGATGGCCCCTGTGAAGCTTCAGACAATGTGGGTGAAAACTCCCGTGGGCAGGAGCGCACCATGGCCATGCCAGGCACACAACACGACCTCAACAAAGGTTTCCACTGTGAACGGATAAATTCACGGGAATGGGAAGAGCACTGTGAGGGGAATTCTCCAAAGGAGGGAAACTGAAGCCGCTTGCTTTCAAGTGTCCACCTTAAAACTCAGGAAGGTGGGGCGCCTGGGTGGCTCAGTGGGTTAAGCCGCTGCCTTCAGCTCGGGTCATGATCTCGGGGTCCTGGGATCGAACCCCACATCGGGCTCTCTGCTTGACAGGGAGCCTGCTTCCCTCTCTCTCTCTCTCTGTCTCTGCCTGCCTCTCTATCTACTTATGATCTCTCTCTGTCAAATAAATAAATAAAATCTTAAAAAAACAAAAACAAAAAAAACAACAACAACAAAAAAAAAAAACTCAGGAAGGAAGAGGATAAGCCAGTCTCCATCTAGACTAAAGACAGAGGAAAAAGGAAAAGGTCAAAGCGGGGCCTCAGCAAACGAGGAAGAGAAAAATGCACCCGAACATAATAAAGGCCATAGGCGACAAGCCCATGGGTAACATACTGGTGCAAGATGGAAAGCTTTTCCTCTAAGATCAGGAACAAGACAAGGATGCCAGCTTTTATCACTTCTGCTTAACATTATACTAGAAGTCCTAACCACCAAAGGAAGGAAGGGAGACAGAAAGGAAGTGGGGAAAGGAGAGAGGGAGGGAGGGCAACAGGGAGTCCAAATTGGAGAAGTAAAATTACCTGTTGGCGGAGGACATGGCTGTATGTGTAGAAAAGCTTTAAAGATTACACCGAAACAAAAATCTGTCAGAATAAATGAATTTAGCGGTGTTGCCCCATTATGAAATCCCACACTCCAAATCAGTTGCATGTGTATACATTAATGATGAAATCTGAAAAGTCAATTAAGAACACAATTCCACTTATAATGGCATCGAAAGGAATCCGATACTTAGGAATAAACTTAACCAAGGAGGTAAAAGACCCGTACCCTGAAAATTACGAAGCATGGTTGGAAGAAACTTAAAAAGACACAAATAAATGGGAAGACATCCTCTGTACGTGGCTTGGAAGACGGCACTGTCAGGATGCCAGGACTACCCAAAGCCTCTGTAGATTCAACACAGTCTCTACCAGATCCCAACAGCATTTCTTGCAGAAACTGAGAAACCCATCCTAAAACTCACATGGAATCGCAAGAGACTCCAAATGCCGAAACAATCTTGAAAAAGGAGAACAGCACTGGAATGCTCATACTTCCTGATTTCCAATCTCTGAAGTTATTACAAAACTACAGTGATCGAAACAGTGTGGTGTTGGCATAAAGACGGACATTTAGACCAAAGGAACAGGACAGACAGCCCAGAAATAAGCCCTTGCATGTACGGCCAAATGGCTCGAAAGAGAGTGCCAAAACCGGAGGAGGAGAAAGGACAGTCTTGTCAACAAAGCACGCTGGGAAAGCTCGAAATCCACACACAGAAGAGCCAAGCTGGACCCCTATCTCACAGCATGTGCAAAATCAAAATGATTGAAGACTTAAATGTGAGAGCTTCAACTACAAAAATCCTAGATAAAAACATAGCAGAAATGCTTTATAAGTTGGATTTGGCAATGATTTCTCTAAAACATCAAAAGCGCAGGTGATTAAAGAATGGGCAAACTGGGGCGCCTGGGTGGCTCAGTCGGTTAAGCCTCTGCCTTCGGCTCGGGTCATGATCCCAGCGTCCTGGGATCGAGCCCCACATCGGGCTCTCTGCTCATCAGGGAGCCTGCTTCCCCCCACCCCCTGCCTGCCTCTCTGCCTGCTTGTGCTCTCTCTGACAAATAAATTTTTTAAAAAATCTTAAAAAAAAAAACAAAAGGACAAAGTGGACTACATCAAAATAACGAACTTCTGCTTAGTCTCGGGAAACAAACTGAGGGTTGCTGGGGGTTGGGGGGAGGGATGGGGCGGCTGGTGATGGACATTGGGGAGGGTATGTGCTACGGTGAGCGCTGTGAATTTTGTAACTGATGATTCACAAACCTGCACCCCCGAAGCAAATAATACATTATATGTTAATTTTAAAACTTTAAAAATAACAAATTTCTATGCATCAAAAGACATGATCCAGAGTGAAAAGGCAGCCACAGGATAGGAGGAAACATTCCCAAATCATGTATCTGATTTACATTCAGGTGTTCATATGAAGAATATAGAAAGAGCTCCTCAAACTCAACCAAAAAAACCCAAACAATCCAACGCAAAGAACTTGAATAGACATTTCTCCAAAAGACAGATAAATGATCAATAAGCACATAAAAAAATTTGCTCAACACCACTAATCATTAGGGAAATGCAAATCAAAACTACAATGAGATACCACCTCACACCCATGAAGATAATTATTATATTTTTTAAAAACAAGAATACAACAAGCATTGGCAAGGGGGTAGAAGAACTTGAACCCTTCTGCACTGTTGGTGGGAATGTAAAATGGTGCAGCCACTATGGAAAAACAGTATGGAAATTCCTCAAAAAATTAAAAAATAGAGGGGCGCCTGGGTGGCTCAGCTGGCTAAGTGTCTGCCTTTGGCTTAGGTCATTTTCCCAGGGTCTTGGGATCGAGCTCCACATCGGGCTCTCTGCTCAGCGGAAAGCCTGCTTCTGCCTCTTCCTCTTCTCCCTCCCCCTCCATCACACTCTGTCTCTGGCTTTCTCTCAAGTAAATAAATAAAATCTTTTTTAAAAAATTAAGAATAGAGATAACATATAATCGAGCTATTTCACTTCCAGGTTATCTACCCGAAAGAACTGAACCCAGGGTCTTGAAGAGATGTTAGTACACCCGTATCAGCAGCAGCACTGTTCACAGTGTCTAAAACATGGGGGAACCCAAGCGTCCATCAATGGACGAACAGAAAAACAAAATGTGGCATACACACACCATGGAATATTATTCTGTCTTTAAAAAGAAGGAAATTCTGACACACGCGACAATATGGATTTTCTCAACAATTATGAGAAGTGATATAAACCAGGCAACAAAGAGACAAATACTGTATAATCCACCGATAGAAGGAGTCTAGAGTAGCTGAAATCACAGACACAGGGAGCAGAACGGAGGTTGCATGGCTCGGGGGTGGGGAGAACAGGAAGTTACTGTTTAATGGGTACAGAGTTTGTTTCACAAGACGAGAAGAGTTATGGGGATGGATGATGGTTAGAAAGTACTTAATACCACTGAACTGTACACATTAAAAAAAATGTTTTAGGGGCACCTGGATGGCTCAGTCAATTAAGCATCCAACTCTTGGTTTTGGCTCAGGTCATGATCTCAGGGTCATGAGATCAAGCCCCATGTCAGGCTCCACACTCAGTGTCGAGTCTCCTGGAAATTCTCTCTCCCTCTGCCCTGCCCCCCACTTGCACGTGCGCGCTCTCTCTCTCTCTAAAATAAATCTTTTTTAAAAAAAGTGGTTAAGATGCTAAATGTTACATTATGTGTATTTTAACCCAATAAAAAGAGAGAAAAAAACTACAATGAGATACCAGCTCATACCCATTAGGATGGCTATTATTTAATAAAAAAACAACAGAAAATACAAGTGCTGGTAACGATGTGGAGAAACTGGAACCCTTGTGCGCTGTTGGTGGGAATGTAAAATGGTGTAACTGGCATGAAAAATAGTATAGTGATTACTCAAAAAAGTAAAAATAGAATTACCATATGATCCAGCAATTCTACTCTGGATATTTACCCAAAATAACTGAAAGCAGATGGCCAGTGGGGCTTGTGTTTATGGGTTCAACAGCACAGCGGCAAAACAATAAATAATTCATCTCAGGGCTCAGTGCAAAAGGAGCAAACAGGCATACCTATCTTCTGGTCTTCCCCTGAAAAAGATGTATTTACATATTTTTAAGTCTGCTTCCAATCAGCCTGAATCCAGGTGCAGACTGAGATCCTCCCCTTTAGGGCACTAAAAAGGTCCTAGCAAACCTTCAGCTACTGGAAGCCACTAAGAACAAAGCAAGCTGGTTGGACAATGGGAAAGGTTTGAGAGACAACCATGAACTAGGAAAGGGTTGAACCAGAAGGTTCATTTCTGACACCAGGCCACTTCTTCAAAGGTGGCTGTTTTCCCTAATGCACAGACACCAACAGAGTCAAAGAAAATGAAAAACAAAAACAAAAACCAGGAATACAATCAAATGAAAGAAAAAGATAAAATCTCATAAAAACATCTTAATGAAATGGGGACAAGTGATTTACCAGATAAAGAGTTCATGTCATAAAGATGCTCACCGAGTTCCGAAAAACATTGCATGAACAAAATGAGAATTCCAGCTAAGAGAGAGAAAACATAAAGTACCAAACAAGTCACAGAGTTGAGGAATACAATAACTGAACTGAAAAAATACAATGGAAAGATTCAACCACAGACACATGAAGTGGAAGAAAAGGTCTGTGGACTGAAAGACAGTGGAGCGGAATCAAAGCAGGAGAAGAAGAGAAGAAAGATGGAAGGAAGGAAGGAAAAGAAAAAAGAAAAACAGTGAGCATATCTTAAGGGACTTATGGGCAATACCAAGAGAATCAATGTTAACATTACGGGGATCCCAGAAGGACAAGAAAGAGAAAGGGACAGACAACTTCTCTGAAGAAATAATACTGCATACTTCCCTAGCCTGGAAAAGGAAATAGATACCCAGAGTCCAAAGAATTCCAAAAAAGAGGCACCCAAA